ATTGGCAATTATCATTGACCTTGATGTCCATGGTCCAAGAAAGTACAGAGGTTACCATTGTCTCGCTACACTTTTGTTACTGGAGCAATGAAGACAACCCAGCAGTCGACATACTGGGGGCCGTGGTTTTCTTTCCGGTACAAGAAACAGGATGCTCGTTAGGCGGGATCCTATTCTCATCCTTGGAAACTGACGACCTGCTTCCTGCTCACTCCACGTATCGCTTGACGTCAGATCGCAAAGGGTGAAGCAAGCAGTCGCTGTGGTCACCACTTTTGATTGCAAGTTGGATTCCATTATCAAGCCTCTTGCGGCCCTCACGAAGGTGCTTTCAGTGGTCGCGATTCACGCAACCCTGGCAATCAACTTGTACCACCGACCGTAGTGTCAAATGTCCCGGTTGCAGCGGATGACATTTCTGGAGTTGCTGTGGTGTGGTTTACTTAGCTCTACGCATAGCGATGTTGAGTTACAGGTCAATGAGCCCACTAGGTTAAGGCAAAAGACGGCCAGGAAATTACGAAAGGCATCTGCCCCCATTTTCGAAGAACCAGTCATAAAGCGGGAAACATTCTCGTCATTCTGAAAATCGATTAGTGGTTGTGTGAAGATAACAAATCTCTTATGACCGCTTCTTCTTGTTAGTTGGAGGGTTCGGCCATCGTGGCTGACACCGACGGGGTGATTTCTAATGCAGTATTGGAATCCCATGCACGCGCCGCTGAGACGCGTGCCATGGTGACTGTTAGACAGAGCAGAAAGAGCGCCAGAGCTGCCCGTACGTACTCTGACAGGCTAGAAGACCCAAAGTCTCAGAACGCTGCCATCAGAGTAAACCTACGTTGCAGTTACTTTCGTGTCTTCTACGAAGAAGCAGTCGGTATCATCACTGGCGGAAAAGCTAACTAGTGTTTGTATGGTATCGCTAATCTGCGGAATAAACGCTTCGTCGGGATGATTTCTACACGGATAGTGGCCACATCTAGAATATTACTCTTTTATATGCAGCGATCTACGTAAGTCAGACCGTGTACTGCTTGAGAAAGCTCAGCGACGCTTTACGAAGAGGTTGACTCCACCGCAGCATGCTCTGAATTACGGACAAAGATGTAGACACCTTAAAATTCAGCCGCTATGGCAAAGGCGCATTATCCTTAACATGTGCTTCTTACATAAGCTAATTCATAGAAAGTTGCACAGCGATATCACTTGTCTTAAACTAAGGAGCGCGTCTGAAGCGAGACTCCGAAACAGGGGCCATTCCATTACTCCGCTAAAGGCAAAGAAGAGACTGCGGTCTCGTTTCTTCTTGGTTGTGTACGTGAACATATGGAACAGGTTGCCTTCCAGAATAAGAGAAATCCAGATTGGCGGTATAGGTGCCTCTAACAACAACGCAGCCTACTAGCACCCGTGTGATTCTCTTTACTACTATGGCACTCATCGTTAAACCCATTGGACTACTCCGGCCTCTCAGGCTCCAAATGACTATAGGTCTCAAGCCTGGCCTCTTTTCCTCTGAGGATCGGTTGCCATCGATTAAGGTTGTTAACGGTATAAGTAACGGCCTCATGATTCTCGTCTCCGTCCGATTCATTATCTGTAGGCTTGCTCCCTCTACCTAAATTGAAAGATCATGTCCTAGATTAATCTTGCATCTCGGCTCCACTATCATTCTTCTCAGCTCACAAGTATCGTCCCCTCTCTTGTTTGGCCTCTCTTTTGGTCCATATCGCATCGGTTCAGTGACGGTATAGGTACCTCTAACGCCAGCGCAACTTACTAGCCCCCGTTTGATTCTCTTTGCTACTGTGACACTCATTATTAAACCTACTGGACTTGTCCGGCCTCTCAGGCTCCTAATACCCATCGGTCTCAAATCAAGGCCTCTCTCATTTGAGCATCGGCTGCCGTCGGCAAATGTTCTTATCTGTATAATTAACTGCCTTTTGTACTCGCCGCAGTCTGGTACATTACCTGCATGCTTTGTCCTTCTGCCGAAATTGCAATTTCAGGTCCCTGGTTGAATTTTGCCTCTCGGCTCCACTCTCATGCTTCTCAGGTCACAATTACGTACCCTCTCTTGTTTGGCCTCTTTTTCTGGTCCATATCGCATCGGTTCAATGGTGGTTTAGGTTCCCATAGCGTCAGCACAACATACTAGGCCACATGTCATTCCTCGAAGCTGGACAAACCGCGGTCCGATCGGATTAGGGCGAAAATCTGGCTGTCACGCCGAGTTATCGACCGCTGGAACATGCTTCCGGAAAGTGTTATCAGGGAATCTACGGTTAAGGGGTTTGAGCGGCAACTTGACGCTCTTGGGTGGCAACACGAAACCTTTCACTGACTAACTCGCATCTTCGTACTTCGATTTTCTTTTCTATACCTTTCTTCACTCCTTGGTATTATTTTCTTACTTAAAGTGCACTTCCTTATTCTGTACCTTCGATTTCTCTTCCTATCCTTTGTTTACTTTACGTGACTGCCACAGCAGGGACTGCTAGGGCAGGAAATGTGAGCATTAACTGGTTGGCCAGGGTGCGATACGGGTGTTCCGTTTTAGATCCATCAATAACTGAGCACTTCCACAATTTCTGGCTCAACGATCCACTCAAGATGGAACACTCACGTGATTCTCCTATCGTTCCAGTCCCATCTGAACTGAACTGAACGACTGCGGACCTTGGCTGTATTTATAGGTCTCTACTGACCTTCGACTTCTAGAATTGGAAGGTCAGCTACCAAGGTTTGTGGATCCCCATATCTTTTGACGAGGGGTCAGGTGGTTTTTAATCACGTGCAGAAGAACATTCCGGAACGTTCGAAATCGATGCGATAATCGTTACTAATCGATTAATCGCTAAAATAGTGGATTTCCAGGGCAATTCTTACTTTCTCCCGGACACTTTCCCCTGACAAGCTCCCATCGACATACTTTGATTTTATTCTGTGTGCTTTACTTCGCTCGTTGGCACTATCTGCCACTTAAGTAACCTTTCTCTCCATTTTCTTTCTTTATCTTGCTTAATTCACATGAACGGCACAGCAGCGGCTGCCAGTGCACGAAACGCGAGCAGTAATTGGTTGATTAGGGTGGGGTTCGGGTGCTTCGTTTTAGATCCATCTAGACCTCGGAGCACCTTATCATTTTCTGGCTCAACGATCCGCTCAAGAAGAAACATACACTGGATTCTTCTATCTTTCCAGTACTAATTAAACTTGAACATACTCATTTCCACTTACACCGCCTCAATACTAGTACCTGAGGAACTGACCATACTAAAGTGCATAGCCAGTATTTTGGATATCAATCGCTTGACCACTGCTCGTTCGGTCGGGCTACCAGTCATTCTGACCAATTTTACTGTTTGATCCAAATCTCGTAATTCGTCTGCTACTGTGTTGTGTACAATTTCCCATAAGCATGGAAGCCGGTCTTTGGACTAAAGTATTACCTAAAAATTAGTTCCGCTGATGCAGCTGAACAATACGGCGGTCTGTCACACCAGCAGGAGAAGCAGCGACGTGTATTACAGCAATTATCGATCACTTGTTCAGCCCAAACAGGGCATCAATACATCCAAAGAATGAGAAATACACAGCTAAACCAAACAGCTTGCTTGGGGATGTTTACGAAATAACAACAGAAAACGTAATTGGGTTAACAAATATGCTAGTGGGAACCAGCCCCTAAAAACGGTCAGCACAGGTAGAATATCCAGGGGGAATGCACTACACTACCCCCCTCATCGAATAGGCGTCGTCCGCGACGCATGAGGCGACCTAGGACCGTAAATAATAGATACGTTAGCCTGTCTACTCATCTGCTGCTTTGGTAAGGCCTACACAGAATCCGCCACATGGTGAAGCACAGATGGCAAGTGGACAGTGTCGGCAAAGACAAATTTGGCTGGCTTCGTCAATGTGCCGTTTATAATACCTATTGAAACGAGATAGTAGCTTGCGCATAGTGTTGCGTAGTGTGTGTTGCCATCCGAACTCAGCGGAGCAGGAATTGCCTGTTTGTCTGCAGAGTTCGTAAAATTGGAGTGGCAAGCTAGGCCAAGCTATGCATGTGGAGACTATCCAGTAGCCATGTCATCGAGTAAAAGATCAAAGGCAGACTGCGCACCCCGAATTATGACATTTATCACGCTCGCCATGGCGGAGTGGAGGCTTGAGGAAGCTTCAGGAGTCCTTGTCGGTCCAACAGGCGTAGGACGGAACAAACTCCAAGGCGCTGTGTAACTATAGGTGTAATGGAACGCTGTCCCCATCATCACCGTCGGCCGCCTCATCATTGACTTCAACGTTGATAATAGGTTATGTAGACATCGGCATCTTGCTATGCAATGTAGCAGGTTGGGAACCTCGCGGTTTTGGTCGCAGCTGTTGTCACTGTTGTGGTTAATTAGCGATCTACGGGCCATGCAAATGTATAGTTGGCTTCAATGTCATTGGGAGTGTTAGATGCGTCATATCTGTATCGAGGACCGTGGGTTTGCTCATGCCGTATCCGCGCTCATTAGTCGGCTGTTGCTTGTGGCGATGAAACAACCCAGCCAGATAAAATAACTACAATCATTACCAACGCAACTGGACCAATTTTCACTATCCAATACGCTGCTGAATCAGTGATCAAATCTAGTATGTTTCATCACCATAAGCAGCAGCCGACCAATGAGCGCGGATACGACGCGAACAGGCCCACCGTCCCTGATAAGGATATGACTCATCCGACATTCTTAGGGACCTTGAAGCCAACTGTCCATTTTCCGGTCACCCAGCTTGCTACTGAAGCGCAACGGTGGTAGTAGCTGCAACCACAACCGCTTATCACGCTTGATAAGTTTACCCTTAGAAGTCAGTCCGAACCTGTCGCTAGATATTTTGTTTCAAAAGCCATTTTCACTGCTTTACTCGCATTTACTCAGAGTGGGCCTGACTTTTTGGAACAGATAATCCTGATTAATCTGCATTCCATATTACTTTTTCAGCAGTTTGCTTATGTGGATTAACTGAAGATGAAACCCATCAGTCCTGTCGTTTATTTGTCCGAGGTTGATTTTTTTTCGTTCTCGACACAATTTTAGGTCGCTTCTCTCATCAGTAGCAAGAATGGAAAACATTTAGCGGTAAGTTTCTGTGCTCAACACAGTGATCTACCCACCTTACGTAGCGTTTTATAATCTGCAGAGACGCTCACGTTTACAACCCACGTTTAGCCGACCCAGAACCGGAAGCTATCGCAATGAAGCATCTGATTGCTCCATGGGATGAGGCATTTTCAGCTCATATGAGGCAGGGTATAGATTTCTCCACTGACTTGATTTTTTTTGTTTCAAGGTGTATATGGGCCATGAGAAAGCAAGATTTTGAGGAAGCATATGCTTGCCAAGTTATTGTAGTCAAATATCCTTTATTGCATTTGATCGACTATTTTCTGCCTTACTGTTTGCTCATGGTTTCTTCGCCGATTAGATATAGCATATTTTATGAAATTCCGATATAACTGTTTCGTTCATTCCTTCTTTAATCATGATTTTTGGTTACGGTCACTGCTCACATTGCGGGCGAGCGTTTTTGCAAGTCATCATCATCATCATTATACACGTCAGCTAGAGGTGGGAAACACCTCAGCTGCTTTGTCGCATTACATAAATGAAAAGGAAAATAAATACAACAGTTGCATGCCAGCTAAGCTACCAGCAAGGGATAGGCATCGTTCCGGTAAGCTACCAGCCGGCTACTAGGCAAAAAGAAAAATTATTGTTTTACGCTACGAAATGAGATCGTGGGTGGAGGAGGAGGCTAAAAGGGATAGGGTGAGACAAAGAAACTCACAGCAGGAACCCCACTTAGGTCGACTCCTTGTCATGTCAGCAAGTGTATCCAGCCAAACGTGTCCACCGTCTTTTGGACCCCAACCAGGGAGCCGTGAAGCTCCAACCGAGGCCAGCTCCGAAGTGAGGGTCTTCATTCCTCTGGACCAAGTCATCGCTTGACCACCCCTCCTCTTCTTCCATCCACACCCCCGGTGAGCAAACAACGCACGTCGCGGAAGTCGGTGGCCTGGCATGCGCAACACGTGACCCAGCCATCGGAGCCTGGTGCGTGAAATGACGGTGCTGAGCGGTTCAGTTCCTTTTGCTGTGATGTAAACAATGCGTCGAACATGCTCGTTACTCACGCGGTGTTCCCACCAGATGTCAGCCAAACTGCGAAGACACCGATGGTCGGACGTAACTAGCCTCTTTATGTCCGCCGATCTTAGGGGCCAGGTTTCGCAACCGTACAGTAAGGTCGAACATGCCGGTGCATTGTACACTCTACCCTTCAGGGCGAGTGTAATGTCGCGCCGCTGCCATAGGTGTTGAATGTTAGCAAAAGCACTTCGAGCTTTTGCTATACGGTTCGTGATCTCGCCTTCGATCCCACGGGCGCTGATACAACTTCCCAGGTAGTTGAATTTCCGAAAGACTTCTTACTGATCCCACCAAGGGTCAGCGCAGGAGGCGATCACTGTCAATCTTGGAGGAACGCTTTGCACTTCGAGGGTGCAAAGCAAAGCCCGAAGCGGCTGACAGCCAGTGCTAATCTGTCCAGTGAAGCTTGGCACGTCTGGAAGCTGTCACAGATGAGGGCAATGTCGTCTGCATACTCCAAGTCAAGAAGTCGTTCTCCTGGGAGTAGTTCCACACCTTCTAAGTCGTGTCTTGTAAATGCAATCTCCATGACTTCGTCAACAGCAAAGTTGAAGGGAAAAGGTGACAGCGGGCATCCTTGTCTCGCACCACTGGAGATGCTGATGGGCGACGACAACTTGCCGTAAGCCCTCACTCTGCCTGTGCTACGCGCGTATAATGGTTACATAATATTTACATATTTCTCGGGCACACCTTTTCTGAGTGGACAAATCCGAAGGACACATCGATCAACCGAATCGAATGCACCTTTGATGTCGGGGAACGCGACTACGGTGAGCCGCCAATATGTGTGACGGTGCTCCAACAATTGACTCAAGGTGAAAATATGGTCGATGCAGCCACGACCCATACGAAACCTGGCTTGCTCCTCAAGAATCTGGCTTTCACGAGTGCCAGTCAGTCTATGAAGAATTATGCAGGCGAGTAATTTGGAGGCGATGGAGATCAGACTGATTCCTCTATGGTTGCCGCATTCCGAACGCGAGTCGCCTTTGAAGATGGGAACAATAACGGAGCGGCGCCAGTCGGTTGGGACAGTCTCTTTCTCCCACGGTTTCACTAGTAATTCACGTAAAGCATCAACAAGAATAGAGCCTCCAAATTTGAAGAGGGCTGGAGGAAGATCATCTGGTCCCGCGGCTTTATTTAACTTCAACAGTTTGATCTCACATTCGACTTCTGAGCGAGAGGGTGGATCCTAAGGGAGATCCCAGGGAGCAGGGCGATCACTGGCCGGCGAAGAATTGAACAATTCTAGCCGATTAAATTGCTTTTCAACATGCTCAGCTGAATGCTGCAAACGTTTTGACAAATTGTGGATAGGCTGTCCACTCTCGTCACGTATAGTTTCACTAACACCAGGTCTCCTGCTGCCCGTTTCCCGTATCAGACGGAATAACTTATGATGGTTGCCAAGGGCAGCGGCCACTTCCATCTCTGACGCACGGTGAGACCACCAAGATTCGCGGTCTCTCTTCAGGCTAGCACGGAGTTTCGCTCGGAGCTCTTTGCGAGTTTCATTGTGCTCGCTTCCAGCCGGAATATGCCGGCGAGCGTCGATAGGTTCCAGAGACTGTGAAGAGACCCAATATCCATGTTGGCTATTAGACATACCACATGAGGACTTGCCTGCTGCTAGTAGGGTCTGGTGAACATGTGACCAGTGACCATCAATCGTCTCCATTGAGCGTTTCTCCAACTCGCACCACAGCGTACTTCGATACGCATTCAGAACAGCTGGTTTCGCCAGTTGGCTGGTGTCAATGCGCTCACAACGTCATCGTGGGCGTCCGCCAAAACGCATCCGCATGTCAGCACATACAAGTGCATGTTCGATGTCCACACCTGTGCTCCAAATCGAGCGACAGTTCTGGATGCAGCCTCTCCAGCGGTAACTTATCGCAATGTGATCGATCTACGTCCAAGGCTGGTGGGCACCAAGTCACCCTCCGGCGGGTGCTGTGTCGGAAATTAGTGCTCGCAAGAAATAAGCGAGCATCTTCACACAAATGAAGTAACCGTTCACCGTTATCATTACGGGAGCCTACACCGTTTTGACCGCGCAGATGCATTTCATCAGTGGACAACTTTCCAACTTGAGTGTTGAAATCCCCGGCCACTGTCCGTGCTTCTTCTGTGGCGAATGAGCTGGGCAGTTGACGACAGAAGTCGTCTTTTACCTAATCATCGCTGCAGTTTGTGGGCGCGTAGGCAGCGATGATGAATAGACAACTATTAGTCACACGCGACTTCGAAGCTTTGAACGAGCCAGCCAATCGGACCGCACACATCCGGCTACTGATTGGAATCCAATCAACCAGAGTAGCTTCAGCCAGGGGACTCAGGGCAATGCCAACACCGGCTTGGCCGGTGCTCGAAGCTGCATCGTCACCGGATAGGCGCAATGAGAAAATATTGCTTGCGTCACCTGAAGGGGATCGCTGAGTGAGCACAGAGCTCGAGTCTTGCAGGCGGGTCTCCGATAAGCAGCAGATACCGATCGAGAGGGTCACAAATGTTCGGTCAAGTGCTGCCTGTTGACCGATCTGTAGTAATGTGCGTACATTGATGCATGCCAATCTGAAGGAGGATTGAGGGCTCTAAATGGAAGGCGATGAACTGGAATGGCCGCTTGGTTGGACTTGAACTTGTCGACAGGAGAGGAGTGACGCTCCGCGTGAGCATGTTAGTTGTATTTAGAAGATAAATGCCTAGCAAAACATGTTGGGGGGGGCCACGAATCGGGGGTTGAAAACAGGGGGGATATAAGTGAAGTTGGAACGGGACGATAAGAGTGAAAAAGCGCGAGAAGGGGAATAAGAAGACGGGAAGGCTTGAGCAGTAGCATCCAAACCCCTATCCACCCTGCTCGATGCAGCAGATAGGGCACCGTTGATTATTCTCTGCGGTGGCCAGAGCTTCAAGGAATTCTTTGACGAATGATTCATGGTATTGCGTGGGCAGGATATTGTCAAGTTGCAAAGGGCTAGACAGGAGAACAATTAGGGTTCTCAACCATAGCCTTTGGTACAAAAACCTGACCGCAAGGCAGCTGGTTTGGCGTTGGGTTACAAGGAGCCCGTTTTAAGGAATAAGGTGCCACCCTCATTCCAACCCCCAACCTGGAGGACCAGGAGGCTGAGTTTGTCTGACCTCTAACCATTGACCAATCTGGTATAAGTGACTCTGAAGGTGCAAAAGCACCACCCAGCATAGCTCAATGGATCGCTGAGGCACAGAAACCATTGCACCACGGTAAGGTCCAGCCTCATTGCTATGGTTATGTAAGAGTCAAAGCACTCTGTCACTCCAAAGATGCTTCAGGCTTTACTGTGCTTTTATCACTCACTGTGCTTTGCTCAGCCCTTTTCCGCAACATTTACTGACCATCTTACGCAACTTGTCGCAAACACTGCGTTTCTGGTGCTTGTCCCGCCTTCTCCATAGTCGTAAAACTTGATTCGAGTATAAGTGGCACAAATTACATTATTTCAACCTATGAAGTCGATGATTATCTTTCCCAGTCAAGAATCCCTGGTTTTCCCACGTGAATCTTTTCGACCTCAACGATCGCATTGTGACGACGATAGGTTGCACACCTCCATAACCCGTTGCGTTTTTCTGAGCTGCGGTTTCCAAGTGCCCTCAGGTCGCCCATAAATGCGAGCTCAATGGTTAGAGATCAGACGAACTCGATCTCAGTAGCATCTTCCCCGGAATATGGGAAGAGGCCGATAGCCACCTCTTAAAACTTGGTTCCGGACTCTATAAGTCGTCTTTGGTGGTGGGATTGCACATCCATTACTGACAGCTCTTGGTCGATTCGGTATATTCCCACCGAGCTTCACATGCTGCTGACCGTATCTACAAATGTACCATTTGCTGTTAGGCCGTCTTATCACCGTAGAGGAAGACAACCCTCGCCGTCGTCCTATGTGCATGGATATAAAGTATGAATTTCCATTATGGTAAAGGAGGCGCCGCCTATCCATGTAAGCATTTTTGGCTTCTGCAATGCATGCCGTATGTTCAGCAGCTTCGTGTCAATCAATGTTAAACAGTTTCAATGATATTGTCTGTGCTTCCAAACTTATTCTGGGGAAAGATAAGGAAACTGCTGCAGTTTTTAGCTGTTACGCATGCATATGGAACACAACCACTTCCGTTAGGATGGGACATTTCCACATATATAGATGCCACGCCCTT